AACAGCCTGTAGTGCAATAAAATGTTGAGTCTTTAACCCAGTGTTTCATGTTTTATTTGTCTATAACACTGAATATAAATTATTAAAGAAATATCTATTGTGTTCTATCACTCTCATCAACACATCAGTCAAAATAATATTTTAACAACTGCCTTGCATTGATCTACCTACAAAAGGCGAATGTCATATTTTGTTTTAGTTGTTTTCATGTTGAAACTGAGAATGGGTTTGAAAGGAAAACTAAATTTTTTGTAGAAATTGTGGGAAATTCCAAACTTACCTGAATAAATGTGTCTCGTTCCGAGTGAACATTGCTGCTGTCAGTTTACCTCCCAATTTTGTATTGCCCGAATGCAAAGTGTATGTAGAGCAAGGCAAATTTTTCGGCTTTATACAAAACCATGGCTCTCCAGTTAACTTGTCAGTGAAGTTGCAAAGTTCATTAGCAGACGAAAGTTGCACATGACATTGTCCATTGCCTTTTGCTTTCTTCTGTTGAAATCTCCCATTGTATACCATTCGAATCGGATTGGCTTCACGTACACGCTTCATAGCTGCAACTGCCTCGCTACTGTGTACCAGTTGGACATTAATAAACGCAGAACCACGCCATCTTACTGTAAAATATGCGCTATATGAGCCATTGTTGTGATCAATTACTTCACCATCCGTAGGCGCACTCGCTCTTAATTTTGTATTGTAAATTTTAGCGCGAAAATAATCACCTCCTATTTTCTTATTTGTCTTTAACTGGTCACGGGCTTGAATTATTACGTGGATCTTGTCGCATAAATTGTACGAGTTTTGTTGATTTTCAATATTGAAAGCACAATGTTTAGGGTCGGTAAATAAAATGTGTTGTGTTTTGTTACTGTCACTGTGCACGTCCGCTCCATTCTGGATAGACTCATTTTGATGGAGACTTGATGACGTTAAGGTCGGACCAATATATAAGTGATTTTCGTCCTCGATAACCGTATTGGTAGATGTAATATATCCAGCAATTGCCGGTTGATAATGGCGATGATCCATTTTATCCTGGAAAAAAAAGGCAGACGTCAATTAAAATATTAATTAGGAAAGACGTAGGAAGCGAGGCTTCATTAAAATGATTGTCATGTACAGAGTTTTAAATAATATGCTATAGAGAAGGAGGTATGCATAGATATTTACGACACATTTTAGGTTCCAATTTATAATAAATAAATACGTTTTATACGTGTTTCATCCGAAACAAAGATACTAGAAATACAAGATAGAGTTCTCGCATTGTAAAAATGAGGCGGAAGTCGTGCCCAACGTAGGCGGCGCCCTTCTTTTTAACCATGCAAGTTTCCTATACTTCGTGCCCAACGTACAGGGCGCCCTTCTGTTGCTAAGTATATCCAGACGCAAAAGGCGCCCTTCCTTTTCCACCAATGGAGGAAAACTTTTTCACTAAGAGGGCGTCCGCCCATGCGATTCTGCGCTGTATTGTTGTTTTATTCTTTACCGATTCATGATTATGCTTTAATTGTTTTGTGTATTATTTGGATAATAGCAACGATTTCTACCGCCACCAAGGAGGTTATGTATTCACCAATGTCACTGTCTGGGTGTCTATTCCAGTTTGTTTTTGGGTCATTCTTCAGTAAAGTGCCATTTTCCCGTCCCTCTGTTTTGATGTAGTATAAATTTTAAAATATTAAAGGAAGTTTTATTTTTATTGCGTTAATGCAATCTCGAACATATTTGTTAATGAAATAAGTTGTTAAATATTTTAAAAGTAATCAACATGCTGTTTATTTTTCAACAAAAAGCCTCCAAAGTCGCGCACT